TGAATCCGAAACATTAAAAATTACTCACAGAAACTCTGCAGTCAGACCCGAGCGCCGACATCCAACCTGTCGGATTCTGGCAACACCAGGAAACTCGAGGGTTTCATCTTCATCCTGCAGAATACCAACTGAAACTCAGCCAACAAAACCACAGCAGAAACAACTGATTCGTCTCTTTTCCAGGAGATATTTATTGATTAGAAACTACAGACTTTTTAAATTCATGTTATCATTGGCAGGTGTCCTGATGTCTTTCAGACGAACCATCAGTGTTAAATGTAAACACAATAAGCACCTTTAGTGTAATTATTCAACACACATGGTAGTTTGGTGGATTTACTAAAATCCCTGTTTGTCAGAAATACTCACCATGAGTGTGGATTATTCAAAGTTTTCTGCTGTAGTCGTCACTTTTCAAGTAAAGAGAAGTTTGTCTTGTGGATGTTTCGATGTTCTTTTCGTGAACCAAACACTGAGTGAAAACAAGACGAAAGTCACAAAATAAATCAAAACTAAGTGTAAAATAGTGACGTGATTAAAAACTTCTTAAAAGATGGACTGCTTTGTGTCTCCAGGTAACTACAGACCAAATTAACCTGTGGAGTTCCCCAAGGTTCCGTTCTTTGGCCTCTTTTGTTCAGTAGCTATACGGTGCTACTGCCTCAGATTATGTGGAAAAATAAATAAATATGTGTCCATACTATGCAGACGACACACACATTTACATATCTATGCTACCAGGGAATTATAATCGAGTTGGAAACGTGATTGGATTTGCCAGAATTTTCTTTTGTAAAACAGAGACACTTTTGAAAAAAGAGGATATTCTTGGAAAGTTTTTGGAAAGTAGGGACATTTTTAAAAGTTAGAAAAACGTTCTAAAAAAGGACAATTCTGGAAAGTAAAGACTTTTTTTTAAAGTGAGGATATTTAAGGAACGTTACGACATTTTCAGAAAGCGAGGAATTCTTTGGAAACTAAATTGACAATTTATAAATTAAAAGGACATTTTTTGAAAATGAGGATTTTTTATTTTTTTTTTAAGTGAAGACAATTTTGGAAATTAAGACATGTTTTGAAGGTTGAAGACTTTCTAGGGACATGAAAAATTTGGATTTTTTTTAGAAAGTAAAGATGTTTTTGGAGAATTTTCTTCAGCTAAACAAAGACAAAATTGAAGCCATTGCTTTTGGAGCCAAAGAAGAACGATGAAAGTCGGCAACCAGCTTCAGCTGATTAAAAACAACAAACCAAACCATGTGGTCATAAACTCAGACATGAATTTTTTGCCGAATACAACGTGAAAAATATATCAAGAATTAAACCTCAGTGTCCTGAGTGACTCATGAGGTCTCCAACATCCTTATGAGTCATTTTCTAACCAGAACACCTCCTAATAGCCATTAATCAGGTTGCTCTGATATTAGAAGATGTTTAGGACTTTGGCGCCAGCAGTTTGGACAGAACGGCCATATTTGGTTGTTCAGACTATCAGAAAACCAGAACACTGTGATGGACTCGCTGTCTTTGGCCACTTTCGGGTCTCTGCAGCTGGACCAAAACGAGTCAACCAGCGGTGTGGTTGGTGGCGTTGCCTCGGCGACTCGGTGGTTTGATCTGCAGCCCGTGTCCGTCCGCCGGCCTCAACGAGCCGTTTCATTGGGTTCAATAAAGCGAAGCGTGTTAACAAGTGAAGCCAAACCTCCTCAATACCGACCCGCTGATGACTGGTCACTTCAACAAGGGAAGCTTTCAGGTTTCATCCGTCTGCCTCTTCAGTCAGTCACTGATCAGTCGGGTCTGCAGAGACGCAAAGGAACTACTGAAAATTAGAGTTTTGTAAAAATATGTGATGTTATTTTACTGGTTTTCCCAATTTGGTTAAATATTAACGAGTAAAATCACAGATAACAAGAATGACGTGTGGATTCATCTGCTGTAGAAACTAAAGCTCCATCATCTCATATCTGAGTAACATCTGCTGAAACTGAAAAGTCATCACATATTCAGCTTTCCAACCATCAGTCAACCAGCCGTGTGTCTCCATCAGGGAAGAAACAAAGCAAACGTTAGATTAAAATAGTTGGTTTGATAGTTGACTAAAATCACCAAAATGACAACAACATCCTTCTACATCTGATGGTGGAACATCTTTCTACATCTGAGAGGAAAAGTCTGGAGAGGCTTGAACATGCTAATGGCAGTTTTTTTTTTTTTCAAACATTCAACTTTCTGTTTTCCTGATTTCTGGTTAACATCATTCTCACAGAAGACGTCTCTGCGTTCTCTCTCCTCCTTCATGTTGTTCTGGTTCCAGAGCTGCAGGACTTTACGTTGCAGAGAAACAAGAACCTAAAGTGACGCAAAATGTGACAGGAACCACAAACAACCTCTGACGATATCGTAATATATGCTATCTAATTCAGAAAACAATCTGATTGATCCTAAAACTAGACGACGCGTTCTGCTTGTTCTGTTGAATCATCTTTTGTGATTCCTGGAGTAAATGTCTGAATCCAAACCGATCATCTGCGATCATCTCGGTGTAAATCAGTTACAGCAGCTCATTAACAATTTGAAGAACTTGTCGGGTGCATAAAGCGAACCTGTAGCTGGATAAACCTGCACGGTGGTGATCGGTTTAGATCAACGGCTGCCTGTCGGATGAAAAGAGCGAAAACCTTCAACTGGAACAACAAACCCCAAAACCTCGGAGGTCCTGTAGGTGTCGTCCGTCGGCGGCGGTTTGATCTGCGGCCTGCGTCCGTCCAATGAGCCATTTCATTGGGTTTAATAAAGCGGAGCGTGCCAACAACTGTCATCTGAGCCGCGAAGCCAAACCTCCCCACGTGCTCCAGATTGGCGAGGAGAAAGAGGCCAAGCCGGGCCTCGGACAGCGAGGGTTCCTCCGGCCATAAGGAGCCCATTATGCTGCCGGGTGTCACGCAGCCATCTTTGTGGCGGCCCGGTGCCACGCTGGGGGCTTGTAAAGGCCCGGCCCGGCGGAGAGCTGGCACACGGCGGCCCGGACACGCTGCTAAATCCCATTAGGGTCTGTGCAGAGGACGCGAGGCTGCCAGTTGCTGTCAGTCATCACCTCGGGGAGCCCAAACACTTTTAATTAACCTTAAAAACAAGAAGCAGAGTCGGAGCCGAGCGGCTTCAACCAACATCAGCGATGGAGGAAACGCTGCTGAAGAAAGTGTTCAGATGAAGAAAAACACTCCAAAAAAATATAAGATTCTAAATAAAGTGACCATAAACCACAAACTACGTCCTCCTCTCTGAAAAACAAACATGTCTCACAGTTTTTTAACAGTAATTTTTATTTTTCTGTGGGTTGTTTGTTATAAAAAATGACACGAGATGTTTGGTAAAATGACCAAAAATAAACTGTGTTACCATGTTAGTAAATGTCCACATCAAAGCATCTTTACAGCATCTAGTCAACAAAAACATCTGCTTTTTAATGTATTTAAATCATCTAAAAATATAAATTCACTGATATTTTCCATCATTTGAAGGAAAATTTGTCTGTAGAAAAATGGTATATATTAAGTTTTTATCTTACAAATTGTCCATTTTGGTAAATCACAGATGATAACTGGGAAAAATCACAGAAATTAATCATTAATTACACAATTGTACTGATTTTAATTTAGCAAAAATGGTTTATTTGCCACTGTGCTGTTTTTAAAGTATTAAAAAAAATAAATTAACTCAACATTTTTTAACGTTTGCCAGATTTTCACTGTTTTAACCTTCATAATGTGGCTCTTTGGTATTGTAGTTATTACTTTGCATGCAAAAGTTAAAAGAAAATCTCATTAATTCCCCAACATGAAGGTCTAGAGTCCACCAGGTTCACAGCTCTGGGTTGGAAAGAAAAGCTGACGCCTCTATTTACATGTTTATTCCTTATTTGTTGGCCTCAGACAGACTCCTCGCAGTCAAACACACATTTCTTCAGGATGCTTGATGCGTTTTACTGACGGAGGTCGAGCTCTGAGCTGCTGTGTGTTCAGGAGGCTGTTTGAAAAGGTCGCTTCTCGCTTTTTATATTAATCTAATCAGTCTAAAAATAAAGATGGCATCTGAACCCCACAATAAAATAAATAACTGCACGTCTAAGTTCAGCTATTAAAGTAAATAAACTGTTTTGACTCCTTCAGCAGTCAGAGAACCGAATCAGGCAGAAAAATAATCAGAACAAACAGCTGCAGAAAGCGGCCACAAGACGCAGACTTGAGATTATTATGTAAAAAAAGGTATTTAAAAGAAAATCTAATGTGGAAATCAAGGTTAATATTGACCTCCACGTCTCTACTGAATGATGGGATGTCACCTTTAAAACATCTGACAGTAAACTCACAGCATGTTGACTTTGATCAGTTTAATTCCTAAAACCTTCACTCGTGTTTTCTGTGAACAAAGTGAAGCTGAACATGTTTCCATCCTCACTGTGCTCCTGGATCCTGTCGGAGCTTCACTACAAACTGATGACAAAGTTTTAGAAGCAAAGTTTAAACATTTGATGCAGAAGTTTGAGTTTTGTTGCAGATTTTTTCCAACATGTTTGTTTGTTGATGAGCTGGTGGGACTTGGACACATGCAGCAGACCGGAGCAGAAGGACGCAGCTCAGCCTCTCGTCCAGGACAAGAGCTGACTTCTGCTGGTTTTGGTGAAACCGTGAGGAAGTCTTCTCTCCTCCTTCCTCCTCCTTGGCCGCTGCTCTTCTGCTTGGCCGCCTCCATGTATCGGCCCACAGCGGCGCACTGAGACGCTTCTAATCCTCTTTTGATGAACTTGGTTAATGGACCTCCTGCAGCTCTGTTCATTAGGCAGCACACGACCCTCTCCACGCCCCCGGAGCACGCAACGCGCGTCCCCGTGGCTCTGCACTCCATAAATTCACCTCAAAGTTGAGAAATGTGAGCGAGTTTGGTGAAGCGACCTGACCGGTTTTGGCGCACGTTGGTCCAGAGGCAGAAGAGCAGCGATGCCGCCGCGTAAAAGCCTTTTCGCGCCTTTCATCTCGGTGGATGCGGAGGGAGGCGTCGGCCCCGCGGCCCCGGCGGCTCTCCACGCCGACATCCAGGCTCTGCTGCAGCGGAGCCGTGCGCCGGAGCGGCAGGGCGCGGAGCGCACCAGGGGCGACTTCCGAGACCCTCCGTGCGCCATCGTGGAGCTCCGGCTGGGCCCCGCCGGCGGCGCGCTGCACTACCTGCAGCCGGACAAGTGCGCTCTGGAGCGGGCGCAGAGGCGGCGGCGCCTGGCGGCCAACGCCCGGGAGAGGAGGAGGATGCTGGGACTGAACGTGGCCTTCGACCGGCTGCGGAGCGTCATCCCGAACCTGGAGAGCGACAAGAAGCTGTCCAAGTCCGAGACTCTCCAGATGGCGCAGATCTACATCGCCACGCTCAGCGAGCTGCTGCAGGAGAACCGGACCCCGCGGCCCCCGGGCGCCGCCTCGCCGCCTCAGGACGCCCCGCCGGGGCCAGTCCGGGACTTTGACTCCGGGAGGAGCAGCGGAGGCCCGGTGCGCTCCGAGGAGCAGCGGCGGAGCTACGATGAGGACATGTGGGAGAGACCGAGCGGGACCAAGTGACGCCCAGAGACACGAACAATGAGACTTTCTGTAATTATTGCTTTGCCTGTAAAGACTTGTGCTTGTCTGCAGATTGTTGTTGGTGGAGAGGAGTTCTGTCTGAAACTGTATTTGTTCAGTTTAAATATATTTTTCTTGCAAACAGCCAAAAGACCATTAAAACGTGATTTTATTCCTTTTCTGATCCTCTCAGAAAAACTTTAAAGGGGAAAAATCAGATTCACACAATTATCATCAACAAGATGGAAGCAAAGACGTGCAGGAATTACTGAAAGTAGCAATTTTTATTATTTTAAAATTATGTACAGGTAACCAAAGACATCAGTCTGCAAATTGGTACAAAGATCAAGTTTTCCTGCAGTTGGCTTGTTAAGAAGCTCTCTGTCTGTCTGTCCAAAACAACAACACGACCGGGAGAAAAGGCTTTAGAAAATGAAAAATAGAGTCAGATTCAGAAAAGTAGAGTCTACAGTCTAGATTTAAATTTAACCCCGACCCGCCCGCGACCCCCGACCCGACCCCTGACCCCGGGACTCTCCTCCTACACGAGGAAACCAATCTATGTACAGGAACTATGTACAAAAAGCTCTTCCATTCATTCTTCCAGACGTCTGCGAATAAAGCTCTTGTAAACTTCTTCTTCTTCTTTTTTCTTGTTTTAAAAAAGAGAAAGAACAGGAGTGTGAGGGTTGAACCGTCGGCGAGCAGAGGAACAGAAAACAGGATGAACACGAGCTGCGAACTGAGACGACAAAAAACAGAATTCATTTCTTCTTCTTTCTTTTTAAAATCTGAACTTTAAACCAAACAGCGAATCATCCAACAGGAGCTCATGACAAAAACAAAACGTAAAAAAAAAAAAAAATCAACACGAATTAACACCAGAAGGACGAATATTTTGTTAAATTTCAGCTGGAAGCTTTAAATGTTCTGTTTTGCTCAAACTAAAGTGTCTTCTGGTCTCAGAATTAAAACAAAACAGGTTTTTTTTTGGCCAAACAACATAAAAATTCTAATAAAACGCCTTTTATAAGAAGTTTATGAGCTGCAACGAGCAGATACAGTTCAGCTGTGAGGAGCCGCTTTAGCTTCAGGTTTGAATCACAAACCAGGAAGTAATGATGTTATCCAGGTGCATTGTGGGAAACGTAGGAGGACATTTTAGCCTCTGACTTTTATTTCGGCCACATTATTGTAGAAGCTTCTGTTTAATAAGTCCTGTGAGGGTTTATAACGTCTACGGAGGATCAGACTGATGATAAACTAACAGTTGCAGCTCATGAACCGTCCACAAACAGCGCGTTCACTTAACAAAAGCTGATGGATTTCACACTTGAGTCTCAGTTTTTTTTTCGCCTGTTGACTCGTTTCTATGAACTCAGCTTTAGTCTGGGAGCAGCCAGACGTCGGGACTTTACTGAACTCTGTGTTGGATCCGTCGTGGGATCTGAGCATCTACAGTTTTTTTTTTTTCTTTCGGTGGAAACAACAGAACAAACTCCGCTGGTGGCTTCAGCTCGTCTTCACCTCTCGGACCTGGAGGGGGGGCGCCTCGGCCGCCTCGAGGCCATAATTGAAGGCTCCTCTGGGGGGGCGGCGTGGAGCACAAACACCGGCGGTAATTGAAAGGAGCTGGAGGAGGACAGGTTCTGGTCTGGAGGGCTCGGGTCCCGCCGAGACACGAAAAGCTTTGATGTGGAGCGCGATCGATTCTCCGAGAGGGGAGGAAGAAAAAAAGAGAAAAGTTTGGAAGTTTTAACAACCTCGGGGGTCGCTGTGTTTGTGGAGTCAGGTGTGGCTGGTTCGAGGGAAGATTCCGTCTCCGTAGCGGCAGATTTAAAACCGAGAGAAGCCCCTAAAAGTGTCTCGCTATTTACAGACGGACGTCTAACAAACGGACCCCCCGCGAGCTCCCGAGATCAATACTTGTGATTTCTCGGGGGCCTCAAAAGCGCCTCCTTCCGACGGAGCCCAGAGGTCGAGCGGGAGAAGAAGGAGCTCGGCGGGAGAGAAACGAGGCGGCCGGAGGAGGTTCGTTTCTTCCTTTCAAAGCGGAGAGGTGAAGCCATTATCCTGGTCAGTAGTTTGCTTCGGGAGGCTTTGATGACAGAGCAGAAGAAAGTGGCAGCTCCGCTCCAATCTGCCGCCGATCGATGCCGAGGTGTTGTTCAGCCGAAGAGGGGCCGAGCAGGTGAGCCGTGAGGGAACTCTGAAGAGGAACTTAGCTCCAAAAATAAAATATAAAAAAAAAAAAGACACTGAGCAGCTTGAGAATAAAAAAATACTGACTCGGGTTGAAGAGGAGCAAAAACGAACTCAAACCCATCTGGAGGCAAATTTTTTTTTTCTTTTCCGGTGCTGATGAGGTTGTCACGGCGACAGCGAAGAGACGAAGGAGACGGTGAGAGTCTGTGCAGCAGGCGTCCGGCGGTGGACCGGATCTGAGGTGATGATGATGATGATGATGATGAAGAAGGTAACGACGACGGAGGAGACGTGTGAGTGAGGGGCTTCTCTCTAGCAGTGCTCCAGGTAGTCGATGATCCGGGAAATGGACTTGTGTCCCGTGGTGCCGACGTCACACTGCAGAGGGACGACGGGTCACAGGTTAATCAGTACAATCATAAAAACAAGTCAACGCTCTAACTGCTGCTGCTGAGGTTTGTGATCTGTTCAGTCCACTCAGACATCCACCAGCTCGCCTCGTTCTGGTTTCACTGTGATCCACATTAACACTGAGACGGTTTGAGGACGATGAGATCAGATTATGAAGAATAAGATCGACTGATTTAATAATAAATCCGTCTATTATTAACATAAAGATCAACGGGTGAAAACAGAAGTCGAAATTCACAAAAACAGAACACGACAATAATAACAAGGAATAAACGGTAAAAGTAAATAAATAGAAAAATCAATAAATAAAACATAAGACAACTTATTGAACTGCACCAAACACAAGCTGCTTCCAGATTGTTTTTACTCCCGTTTTAAATACATTTCCGAGCACGTCGACGCACCTGGAAACACACGAGTATGACTAAAATAATAA